CTTTTTTTTTTTTCTTTACAATCAGGAAAATCTAACAAAAGGTAAAGTTTGCAGGATGTAAACAAACAGAGGAGTAAAAAATAAAGGCACTTAACTTACATCACCTCCATTAAATAGGTTTTCTTTTCTCTTCTGTACAGATATTTACACACTTCTCATGGGGAGAGTGAAGGCGACGGTTAGAGTACATGATAACAGAACGTGTCAGTCACAAAGGAGGGTTAAACAACACTGTTCATGGCGGAAACGTCTTTAAAAGGCTAAATACAACAGAGGATTAGTTTTGTTTAGAGCATCGCAGAAAATCAAATAAGAAATAAAAACACACAAATGCAAATAAAGCGTTAAAATGCAGAATGAGAAGTTCCTTCATCGCACGTCTCCTCAGTACTTTGTCCCGGATCAGAATAACTGGATGGAATGAAGAGTTTTACACACAAACAACAACAACAACAGCACGAGTTCATTCAGTTTTACACCGTTTGGTTTTGCGGATGTTTGAAACAGCACATTCTGACTATTTCATGAGGAGGACCCTCGACATCTTATGTTGACTGCAGGGTTTAGAAATGATCAACAGACTGTAAAATGTCATTAAAATGACAAATAAAACATATAAAAGGCCAATTAAGGCAACGTGTACCTGCTCGGTATCAGCACAAACCTCAGCCTGATTCTTTGTTTACGTCCGCTGTCGAGCAGGAGTCATACATTTGAAAATATTCTTAATAAATGCAGCATTATCGATCAATAATTTAGGAATCGGTATCACAAATAAGTACACTTGACATTCGTCCTCTGTTGAAATTTGCTGTTTGTGGCGATCGCTGTGACACGGGGTCACTGGCATGGTTCATCCTGTTAATGTCTGTGTGTTGGTCATGAAGCATCACAGCAGACTGTCATGGTGCCTCTTTACTAGCTGATATCCCACAATCCCCTCTGCCTTCCAACATGGAACTCCTCTGGTCACTGTGGTGTTAAACAGGAAGAGGCTCTACAGCTAATCTACAATAGTTGAGATTGTATTAATGTGGAAAATGCTATTGGTTCAGGACTTGAGTGAAACGTAAGTAAAGTACTAATATTGATAGCAACTTAGAAGGGCAACAAAAGGAGAGGAGCTGCTGCAGGATTATGTGTCACTGGGATGTAGGGATGCTAACATGGTTAATCCCAGCTTGCGTTAACATACGTGTGCTTGTCAGAGGTCATGAAGCATCACAGAGGACTTTGTGATGGAGCCCCTTTGCTAAAACCCCCACAGTGCTGTCTGCTGCATCGTGTTCTGTTAATGTGTTTGCTCTGCTTGAGGAGGCCTCACTGAACTGTAAAATATGAACATTTAGGGCAACTTAGAGCGGCAACAAACGGAGACAAGTTGCTGCAGGATCCACAGTGAGCCCAATTTTTCACTGGACATGCTTCCATGATTAATCTGATTTTTAAAAATTCAGTCGTGACTCGATAATCCGATCAAGGCTGTCGGATTGTCAAGACGGAGGTCGAGATAGAAGGAGGGCTTGATGCTTGAAGGGTCATTTGTTGTTAATATTTATTGTTTATAGTTGTTATAATAACTAGTGTATTGTTAGAACACTACGCATCGCTGGATTTTACATCTAACTGACCGGTGCGCTTGTGCACGGGCCCGTCGGTTAACGTCAAAGGTAAGTAAATCTGTTGGATTGTTCAGTCAGATAATATGCCGTTATGCTTATTTGGGACATAAAATGTCATGTTGGAGTCAGAATCCAAGGCTGTCGGTTTGTTAAGGCTATTTTTTATGGGTGCCATTCGTTTTTCCTAAAAGCCTGTCGGATAGCAAGGTTTTCAGGTTGTTAAAAGTCGGATTATCGAGTCACGACTGTACTTTGGTTGTTTTAATGGAAGCTATGAAGTCCACTTTAGTCACTGAAGCTCTTAACCAGCACACAAAATAATAGCTGACAGACCTCAGCGTGGAGATCAAAAGCTGTAGAAGCTGCTCGTATGATGGCCGCTGCTTGTTACCGCGGTGATGAAGTGTGTGCTGTCAGTGGGAGGAGCTTCGGTCGTTGGCCACGTCCTGCAGGCGGCGCAGCAGAGCCGAGTGGTTGTCGGGACAGACCCGTTTGGGCGACGTCTCCTCCTCCATCGCCATGCTGCGCTTCCTGGTGGGAGTTTCTCCGGTCCGGATCATACTGTTGATCTCCTGCAGACGCTGAGGGGTCAGAGGTCAGAGGTTAAAGGTCAGCGGTCATCTGTCAGTAAACTCTGGGTTTCTGTTCACTTCTGGTTCTGACTAACATTTCTTTGTTTCTGAGTTCTGGGCTCTGACTCGGTTACTCCACAACATTCACCTTGTTGTCTTTAAATCATTTCTGTGGAGCTTTGGCTGTTTGCTTCAGGTCACTGTCTTGATGGAAAACAAATCTTCTACATCAGTTTGTCCTCCAGGATTTACCTGTTCTTTGCTGTATTCATTTTACCCTCTACCTTTACAAGCCTTCTGGGTTCTGCAGCTGGGACGCATCCCCACATCATGATGCTGCCACCACCATGCTCCATAGTGGGGATGGTGTGTTTGTGATGGTATGCAGTGTTTGATGTCTGTCAAATGTATCTAGTGTGAAGGCCAAAATGTTCAATTTTGGTCTCATCAGACCCAAAACCTTCTTCCAGTTGACTTCAGAATCTCCAACATGTCTTCTGGTGAACTCTAGCTCAGATTTAACATGAGCTTTTTTCAACAGTGTCTTTCTCTTTGTCACTCTCCTATAAAGCTTTGACTGGTGAAGGACAGTTAACAGTTGATGTATGAACAGTCTCTCTAATCTCAGCTGCTGAAGGTTGTAACTCCTTCAGAGGAGTCATATGTGTCTTGGTGGCCTCCTTCACTAGTCTCTGTCTTTCTCAATCACTCAGTTTGTTAGGACAACCTGCTCTAGGCAGATTTACATGTGTGTCATATTCCTTTCCTTGCTTAATTATGTATTTAACTGGATTCTAAGAAATATTCAGTAACTCAAAATGTTCTTGCTTGGAGAGTCCTTTTAGCTTCATGGTGTAGTTCTGTCCAGGAGTCACCAGTGACTGGACCTTCGAGATATACAAGTCTTGATACTACAATCATTTGAAACACATGTACTGCTCTCAAATGATCTTTATTTTAGTAATTGTGTGACTTCTAGCACTCCTTCGTCGCTCCCATGTTGAATTAAAGAAGTTACTCATAAACCTATGCAGTCACATATTTTACATGTTGAATTAATTGACATAACTTTGCAAAACCCCTGAATTCATTTTGACATCAAAGTGTCTTTTTTTGTAAATTCTCCATCAAAAAAAGCCAGATTAAACTGATCGTAATTACCATTGAAAAAAATCACTAAAACTAGTTTGGAATATTTCCATGATGAACATTTGCAGCCATGTATGTGCTGTGGTTGGTCTTACGTTGGGGGGGCTGCTGCAGATGTAGTAGTAAATCTTGTCCCGGGGAGTTGTTGGCGTGAGGGCGGAGCCTGTCTTGTGAGGCGAGATGTAAATGGAGTGTTTGCTGGACAGAAGCATCCGACGGGGAGATCCGGTCCTCAGGGTGGGATATGGACACAGAGGGGGGGACTCCACCTGCACAGGTACCAAGAGTACACCAAAGTACACTGTCACCTTCAGAGGCAGCAGGAGAACAGACCAACACCTGACGCAAGTTCTGTTTTCATACGATGACTCCAAACGTATGACATGTGAAATCGTACAAGACGCTTCTTTGTGGCCGTTTTGTGTCTCTTTGTGGCTGTTTTATGTTTTCTTGCAGCACATCTTTCTTGTCATTTTGTGTCTCTGTGGTTGTTTTGTGTGTCTGCCTCTTTGTGGTTGTTTTGTGCCTGTTTGTAGGTGTTTGTGTCTCTTTGTATCTCTTTGTAATCTTTTGTGTGTCTTTGTAGTTGTTTTGAGCCTTTGTATAATCGTTTCTGTCTCTTTGTGGTCGTTTTGTGCCTGTTTCTGTCTCTTTGTGACCATTATGTTTCTCTTTGTCGTTGTTTTGTCTTTGTCCAGTCATTTTCTATCCGTTTGTGATCATTTTGCATCTTCTTGTAGTCGTTTGTGTATCTTTCTTATTATTTTGCGGTTGCTGCGTCTTGTTGTGGTTGTTTCGTGTCTCTTTGTAGACATCTGTGTCTCCTTGGTATTTGTTTTTATGTCTTTTTGTGGTTGTTTGGTGTGTCTATGTTTTTGTTGTATTTCTCTGTATAGTTGGTCTTTTTTTGTTGATGTTCTGTGTCTTTGGTCACTTTGTGTGTTTCACTGGCTATTTTGTGTCTCTCTGTAAGTGTTTCGTGTCTATTTCTGCTCATTTTCCACGTCTTTTAAGTCAGTTTGTCGTCTGTGTGTAGTTGTTGTTTCTGCTGTATAACTGTAAACTCCCCCTCTGAAGTAAACATCTTCTGCCGTCAGCGGGATGAAGAAAACTTGTATCTGTAAATTCAAACCAGCAGTGTAAAGTAAGTGTGAAAGTGTAAAGTGTGTTCGTACCCCTGCAGACGGCGAACTCAGAGAGTATCTCAGAGCAAAGTGTCTCATCTGTTTGATGTAGACGTTGTTGTAGAAGTGGATCAGGTCTCCTCGCTCCTCCTCACCGTCACCCACAGTGCAGGAGGCGGCAGCGGAGGAGGAAGTCTTGCTGGAGGCGTTGGTGGGTGTTGAGGGGGCGCTGCCAGGCTGGGGGCCCGGCAAGGTGCTGCTGGAGCGAATAGGAACCGGGCTGATGTCGCCACCTGCTGGCAGATCAGATCAGATCAGACTTGTTGGTGAATTATTGGATAACCTTTCTGCTTCATTACATACAGCTTCCGTTTAAAACGTTTTCCACAGCACCATAACTTGAAAATGCCACAGCGAGTTGAGACAGGGTTATGAATGCTTTGGACGGATGTTTCTCTACCTGGATCTTGGCCGGCGTCAGCAGACGAGTTTGGTTTGTTGGCGTCGTTGGAGACGGAGTGACGCCTCCTCCTCGCTGAGATCAACACACTCCTGTACACCTGAAAAACACACAATCGGAGGTTAAAAACCAGCAGAAGCTTCTGTTTAGTGATGCACGATATTCAAATTTCTGGCCAATACCGATATCCGNCAGAGAGAGACAACAGAGAGAAAGACGGAAAGAACAGAGTCTCACGGTGAGGTTGGCGTGGAGCCTGTAGGCGGCGCTGTCCTGGTTCTCCATCCCCTCACAGAGGCAGGGTCCCGGGGTGCCGATGTCCTCGCTGGCCCCCTCGCCGGTGAAGATCCTCTCATCCAGACTGCCGGTGGCCAAAACATGTTCTTCATAGAGCCGACTGAGAGACAAGCTGAGAAAAGACCAGAGAATAAAGGGAGAGTCAAAACAAACTCAGCCATATTTATTTATACAGTTGGGAACAAACATGAACACACTCTTGTACGGCTCATGTGTATCTGAGTTTACACAAAAAACAATCATTCATTTGGCCACAATGAGCCTAAATTGGTTCGGAGAGAAGGTGAGGCCTTTAACCTCAGGAACACTAAACCCACCGCCAAGCATGGTGGTGGCAGCATCATGCTCTGGGGCTGTTTTGGGGCTTTATAGAAACTACATAAAATAATGTAGAAGGAGGAGAAATACCTCCATATTCTTCAGGAAAACCTAAAATCATCATCAGAATGTTGATTTGGGCACAGTTTGGTGTTTCAACAAGACAATAACACCAAACACACATCAGACTTAGTAAAGAAATGGTTCAATCAGGCTAGAATGAAGGTTTTAGACTGGTTTCCCTTAAGTTCTAGTTTAAACCCATCACGAACCTGTGGACTGTCATAAAGAAAGTGTCAGAAAGTCCGCTAATTTAGTTAAACTGCACCAATTCTGTCAAGAGGAGGGTCAAAGATAAACCAGAAGCTTGTGGATGGAAACCAAAAGAACCTAACTGAGGTGAAAATGACCAAATATTTGCATTTCTGTATGTCTATTTTTGACCCAGCGGATTTTGTCTTATCTCCAGAAGTTCTATAATAAATCTATAGAAGAACCAAAATGCAGGAGTGTTTTTAGAAAGAAACTTCAGTCAGTGGAATCCACGAAAAAGCAAAATGCTGTTTTTTTTCCCCCCAATATTTTGACTGTTTTAAAGGAGAAAACAAACACTGACTACTTAAATATACTGAATATAATCTTCATTTTGATTTATTAGTTGTGGCTTGGACCACTTTTCAAGATCGGACCAGAAATAAAACGACTGGTTAATGAGTTTAAAGTCCTACATATCAAATAAAATTAAATGAATCCATCTGAAGTAGCGTCATGGCACGTGTCAGGTTTTTTTTGTCCTCATAACAACAACTTTTGGTCGACAAAGTCTCTACTTCCATTTCATGATTTGTGCTTCCCCTGGCAGCCACTTCACTACACATCTGTTGATCCTTTTTTCCACTACTTCTGTCCTGCATGCATTGCTTTGTGAATTACTGAAGCTAAAACACGTTAAATGGCTTCTGAAGATTCAGCAAAGATGAAAGATTTTAAATAAAGTAAACACAGCTTCCTTTTCCTGTTACCAAACAGGAAAAACTATCATTTGTGTAAATAATCTTCCACCAGTCTTCTCCACTCAGACTCGTTCTTTAAAAACGACCTCGGGGTTAAATTAAAACGCCGTGATGCTGTGCGACACTCACAAACTGTCTCCAAAGTTCATGGGATCCAGAAAGCCGGTCAGACTGTCCTCCTTCCCTCTGAGAATCTGTGGGAGCAAGAGAGTGGATCAGTTTGACACAATACTACTGTTATACTGTGCAGAAAACACAGGAGGGAAGTAAACCAGAGGCTGAAATACATCCTAAATCAACTCAGATAAAAATCATTTCAATGCAGATGTTGTTTTTTTTTGTGAAGGCTGAAGTCTGTTTTGGGGAACGACTGATTGTTTTACACCAGTGTGTGCAGGTTAACATGCTGGTGAGTCACTCAGACAGTGGACGTAGATACTGAACGTTAGCTAAACGTCCGTCCTGGTGGCTAATGAACTGCACGAGTCGACACCAGGAAAGAACTTGTGAATCCCGGAACCAGAAGTTTACATCCACTGTATAAAAACACACAAAACCTTTTTGTCTCACTGTCTGACATTAAATCAGACTAAACTTCTCCTGTTTCAGGTCAGGTAGGATCACCAACATTATGTCTATTTACTAAATGCCAGAATATTGAGAACGATGATATTTTATTAATTTCTTCAAAGTCAGAAGTTTCCATCCATCTCCTCAGTATCTGGTAGCGTTGCCTTTAAACTGAATGACTTGGGTCAAATGTTCTGGGTTTCCTTCCACAAGCTTCTCACAATAGTCTGATGAGTTCTGGTCCATCCCTCCTGACAGAACTGGTGGAACTGAGTCAGGTTTGTTGGTCTCCTTGATCCACTAATGTTCTCCAGGATTGAGATCAGGGCTTTGTGATGGCCACTCCACAACACTGACTCTGTTGTCCTGAAGCCTCTTTGTAACTAATCTGGCGCTATGCTGAGGGTCATTGTCCATCTGAAGACCCATTTAAAGCTTTAACTTCCTGCTGATGTCTTGAGATGTTGCTTCAATATTTCCACATCATGTTCTTTCCTCATGATGCCATCTATTGTGTGAAGTGCACCAGTCCCTCCATAACATGATGCTGCCACCCCCGTGCTTCACAGTTGGGATGGTGTTCTCAGGCTTTTTCCTCCAAATGTAACGATGGTCATTAAGGCCAAACAGTTCAGTCTTAGTTCCATCAGACCACAGGACATGTCTCCACTAATGAAGCTCTTTGTCCCTGTGTGCATTTACAAACTGTAATCTGCTATTTCTTATGTTTCTTTTGGAGTGATGTCTTCTTCCTCTCTGAGCATCCTTCCAGCCCATGTCAGTACAGGACTGGTTCCACTGTGGATAATGACTCTCTGACCAGCTTCAGCAGCATCTTCTCAGGTCTTTAGCTTCTGTTCTGGGGTCGATACGCACATTTCAACCAAAACACTTCATCTCTGCGACACAGAGCCCGTCTCCTAGTAATAAAAAATCCTCTCTCTCATCATTCTGGCGTTTAGAAAATAGAAATAACCTAGGTAATCCTAACTGACCAAAAAGTGACAGCGGTTGTGCGTTACCCTTTTGTGGAAGAGTTTCTTGATGAAGGGCTTCCAGAAGTGCTCTTTGACTCCTTTGGCCTCCAGCACCAGGCCGTCGTGAAGCTCGCACAGCTGCTCGATGAAGCAGAACGGACCTGAGGACGGCCGGAAGTCTTTGCTGCTGAAGTCCTCTGGTAAACCTGCAGGAAACCAGTGACGCTGCATCACAATTCACACAGTTTTTTTTGCTTGATATCTAACAGCCCCTTTCCCAATCTAGACATATCATGTGTACATTACCTGAGGATAATCGCCATTATTACGTTTATTTGTTCTATTCTAGCCTTATTTTAGCTACGTATTTAATTTCAGTAATGTATCATACTTATATTTTCTTGCTTTTCTGTTTTTAAACCACTGCATTTCTTATGTTATGTCATTTTGGGGGTTTTTGTGCAATATCTGGCACAAGAATCACCTTCAGGATTAATATAGTTTTATCTTATTAGTGCAGCTGTTCCAGGGATAGAGGCGTAATTTTTCACGGTGAAGCTGCAGAGAGCGGAGCAGCTTCCTTTCTCGACAATCAACGCTGTGTTTACAGATGGAGGTGGAGTCGGTGGGGGGAGCTGAGGAAACAGGGGGAGTCAACAGGATGAGAGGCGAGCGCTGATAGACGCCGCTGCAGCTTTTTTTCTGGTTGGAATTTGCTCAGCGAAACTTTTGATTTATTTCACGCGTTTGATTTAACACCGTACGTGGCTGATAAGCAGGCTTCCTATTTAATTTTGTGACTATTCACCATCATATTGCACAACTCTGCGACCAACACACTCCAAGCTGTAAGAATTATGTTGAGGGGGATGTGGTTTAAGGGCTTCAGTGCAAAAGATTTGACGGGAATGAGAGAAACTATATCGCAACACACCAACACTATCAGATAATTATTATTAATAATGTAATCCTCACATAATACATCATAATATACTGGCTTTAAAGAACAAAAATTATTAACTACAGCTAGAGAGAACCATTAAAGAGAAAAACACACTGACTATAAAAATGATTTACCAGCCTTGAAGGTTTGAGCATTGAATCATGGTCAGTTTAATTTAGTTATTTTGGACAAGAATTCACCAAAAAAGGATCGTACCCACGACCTTTACAAGCCTTCCTGGGCTGGTGCTGAGAAACATCTCCACATCATGATGCTGCCACCACCATGCTTCACATCATGATGCTGCCACCACCATGCTTCACATCATGATGCTGCCACCACCATGCTTCACATCATNAATAAGGTTGGGTCATGTCCATTGTTGTGTTGTTTTCTTGTCATAGAGTTATTTGAAGCACCATGATTTTTCTCTTAGCCCAGTAACATTATTATATAACTCTTCCAGTTGGGACACTATTGGAGTGGTTTCACCATCACACCTGCTCAATGCATGTTTAGATATTGGTCATCAGTGCAAGAAAAAAAAAAATGTCAATCATTTTTTTCCCTCAGAAAGTTTGCCCTTTGACTGGCACCAGGAAAAACGTGGAAATTTGCACCATCATGTAACTGGTTTGTATTATTCTATTAAAGCCGAGTTGTACCATTGAAGACCCTACGTACCTGTTAGCAAACATGCAAAAATTTCAGGACTTTAGCTACAATATTTCTCAAGTTATGGCACTTCAAACATTGATCCACAGCATGATACTGCCACCGCCGTGCTCTGCAAAAATTGACATGACCCCACCTTATTTTAAGAATTTTTTACTCAACAACTAACGTTAGCTGTGAGCCCAGATTTGACATGTTTTACTGAATAACATAGGAAAAAAAGACCAATATGAGATGGTAAGGTGTGAGCTTTTCATAAAAAAAGATGAATTGAGGTGTAATGACCCTTACAGATGAAAAAACAACACGCTGTGCTTATTTATATGACAGAAACAGGAAATCCCATCTTTTTAAATTAACTGGATCCGACTTTTGACATAACTCACTATTTGGAAGCTCAAACNTCGGAGGTTAAAAACCAGCAGAAGCTTCTGTTTAGTGATGCACGATATTCAAATTTCTGGCCAATACCGATATCCGATATTAAGATTTCTGATATCGCCGATAACCCGATGTCGACATTCAGTTTTTGTTCACACCGAAAAATGAGTATCAGTAACGACTGTGAGAACGTGAAAGCTGTTCAAAAGATCCCAAATTAGACCACATGGTCTTCTTTATTATGTAACAAAAGTAAAACATATTTAAACATATTTAACTTTCAAGTCCAGAATAATTTAAGTAAAAACATCTGTGAAATAGCAGCAATATCATATGTAGAGATGAAGGCACTGATGTTGGACAATCATCGTTTTTTTGTTTTTTTTACACTAATTACTAATTACACTAATTTTTACACGAATACCAACGTGGTCGTCGATATATCGTGCATCCCTTGTTTAGAGGCATCACTTGGTGGGAATCCATCCATTATTTATACACCGCTTAGTCCTCACACCCTGGACAGGTAACCAGTCTATCACAGGGCTACACTTAGAGACAGACAACCAAGCACACTCACATTCACACCTACGGATAATTTAGAATCACCAATTAACCTCAACATGTTTTTGGACTATGTGGGAGGAAGCCGGAGAACCTGGAGAGAACCCACGCTGCACAGGGAGAACATGGAGACTCCACACAGAAAGATCCCGGGTGTCTTTACCGGGACGTGACCCGGCGACCTTCTAGCTGCGAGGCAACAGTGCTAACCACTGATCCACCTTGCAGCCTACTTTGGTACCTTAAATATCAACAATGACAGTTTGGACAAGCATTTTCTTTTCATGCGTAGCCCTGAATAGATACGAAGCAACCTCTGGTACTGTTATCAACTCGGAACATTTCTACGTAAACTGCAGTTTCTTACGTTGCTGCTGGCCTGAGGCTGAGTGCGGTAACACTTCATGATGTTCTGGAAGGATTTGTCTTCTTTGGTCACCTGACAAACACGAACAACACACAGTTAGCACAGCAGGAAGAACCGAACAGACACGTTGGATGTTTGTAATCATCAAAGTCAGATAAGGTGCAGTAAGGACAATATGGTGTGAGAAAACTTTTAATAGTTTTTTTCATTGTTTCAGTAATATTTTGGACTAAATGTTAAATATTTTCTGACTCAAGCAGCAAAATGTAAATGTGTTTGGTAAAAAATGATTTAAAAAAAAAAAATCTCTCGAGTCTTGAACTGAGGACAGATAATATTTAACAGTTTAAGAAGTTAAACTGAATTTCAAACCTAAATTTTGTGCATTTATGTCTCTTAGACCTGCTGATACTTTCTACACGGAGCTTCATCTGTCTTATAGAGGCACTGGTGTGTGCAGGACTTTTCATGACTTGTAGAAACCCTTTTAGTTAGATTTATAGTATGTGACTTTAAGTTTATTCATACACAACGTTTATGGACTTTCTTTTTGCTCCATCTTGTTCTTCAGGTCGTCTGAGGTTGAATCTACACGTCTGGACTCATTCCACTGCAGAAAACATCCTCTGACCACGTTGTGTGGGGGAGAGTTTTGTGTCTCTTTGTGATCATTTTATATTTTTTTGTAGTTATTTTTGTTTCTGTCTGATAGTTTAGTGTCTGTTGACGTCAATCTTGTTCCTTTTTGGACACTTTGTGTTATTTAATATTTCATTGTGGTAGTTTTGTGTCTCTTGTGGTCATGTTGTGATACTTTGTCGTCCTTTTGTGTCCCTTTGTTGTCCTTTTAGTCTCTTTGTGATGCTTTTGTGTCTTTTTGTGGTCAATTTGTGTCTCCTTGAAATAGTTTTTTGTTGTTGCTTATCGATGCGTGATACAAAAGAAGCTACCTTTTGGTCACTTTCTGGTCATTTAGTGTCTCTTTGTGGTAGTTTTGTGTCTCATGTGGTCATTTTGGTAAATTTGTGATCACTGTTGTTTCCTTGTTCTAGTTTTGGTGTCGCTTTGTGGTCATTTTTTGTCTCTTTGTGGTCGTTTTAAGTCTCTTTGTGAAACCTCCAATTGAAAACCAAAACTCTGTTAATGGATCCTTCAGGATGTAAATATCTGGATCTCCCAACTAGTCAAGTCAGAACTGATGAAGCCTCTTGGATGAGAGGTGAAACGTCTTCAAGGAACTCAAGCAAGTCCAGCTTCTATGATTGATCTGAATAACCATGACCTGGATGACTGAAAATCTTCACAGACTTGTCCTTGTAATAGTTTTTTGTTGATGTTTGTCGATGTTGTGTCATACAAAAGAAGCTACCTTTTGGTCTCTTTGTGGTAATTCTGTGTCTCTTGTCATGATTTTTTTCTCTTTGTGGTGATTGTGTGTCTGCTTGTAGTTGTTTGTTTCTTTTTGTAGTGGCTTTGAGTCTTTGTATTCATTCTGTCACTTCATGGTCATTTCTGTGTCTCCTTTCACACATCTTGTGTCTGTGTGGAATGGTTTTTTGTTGTTTTGGTTTTTTTTTGCTGATGTTGTGCCATAAAGAAGAATCCGACCGTCTACTTCCCACACAGACCTTTGCCATGACGTAAACGGCACACATGAGGAGCTGGTCCAGGTGTCGGTCCATCATCATCTCGGTGCAGTGGACCAGAGAATATTCGAAACACGTCCAGATCTTCCTCCTCAGCTCCGACGAGATGTCCAGTTTGGCACAAAGGTCTCTGAGCCGAACGCTGGCCAGATGGTAAACCTGAGAGGACAGACACGGAAACAAACTTTAACAAACCACTGACGAGTATCTGCAGTTGTTTTGTGTATATTTCTGCTCAATTTGCTTCTTTTTGTGGTAATCTGGTGTCTTTTTGTGGATGTTTTGTGCCTGTTTGTGGTTATTTTGTGTCTATGTGCAGTGGTTTGTGGGCATTCGTACCCTTTTTGTGTCTCTTTGTTGATCATTCTGTATCTTTGGTCACTTTGTGTTTCTTTGTGGTCATTTTTGTCTGTTTGTACTTGTTTGGTTGTCGTCTTTTTATGGTTGTTTGTCTGTCTTTGTGGTGTTTTGTGTATACTTCTGATCATTTTCCATCTCTTTGTTGTAATTTGGTGTCTCTTTGTGGTTGTTTTGTGACTGTTCGTAGTCATTTTGTGGTTGTTTGGTATCCAATTGTTTGTTTATTTTTGTAGTTTTTTGTCAACTTCTTGTCATCTTTTGTCTCTCTGTGACCATTTTGCAGATCTTTGTAGTCGTTTTCAGTCTGTCTGTGGTTGCTTTGTGCTTCTTTGTCTTGTTTTTTTCTGCTGTAAAACTATAGAAACGTCCTTCTGCAGTTAATATCTTCTTCCATGATAACGATAAAGAAAAGTTGGATCTGTAAATCAGACAGGACAGGGTGAGGACGGACATTCTGACATTTGTGACTCGTACCTTCCTGAAGAACAGCGACAGAGAGCCCTTCCTCAGCGGGCTGCTGGCTGCCTTGACGGCCGGTTTGGCGACGGCCGACTGGACAGCGATGGTGCCGGTCAGGGTTTGGGCAGACAGTGGCTGCAGGGCGGCGCCGGCCTGCCCGGTCACGCTCACCTGGACGGGGAAGAAGGTGATGCCTCCGCTCTCGTTGGCTATTCCTGCAGAGGTCAGCGGTTCTTAGGGTTAGAGGCCTTCAGCTCAAACACCACTGATTTGATTGAAATTTCTTTTTTATCATAAACTATTTAAAATAATATCTATGAAATTTCAGATCTATTCATTAAATGCTTTCCGAGATACATGTGGTTTAATGAAACATGAAAAAACTTGTCACAAAAAAGGTTATTTTTGTTAAACTTTCAAAACTTATTGAGCAAGTATGACAAATTGGACCACAAAATCAAAACATACTGCATGATATTTCAAGAAGAAGAGCATTCTAGAGTTTCAAAATAAAAGGATGCGATAGATCGAGTCAAAGTTTCACAAACATCTTTGTGTAATTGAAACCACACGAGGTGCGATCAGGAAGTTGTGGGACTATCGAGCTATTCCATTTTGCATAAGTTTACTGTGAACATCAGTATTTTATGGAACAACAATGTCAGCCCCTCACCCTGCACGGGTATGGTCACCGTCTGCCCGTTGTTGGCGGTGACGGTGGCGGTTGCCACGGTGACCACCGTCTGTCCGGCGGGGATGGTCGTGACGAGGCTGGCCTGGCCGGTCTTGGTCACGGCGGTGGCGATGGGAGGCGTGCTGGTGGTGCTGGTGGAGCCGGTGGAGGCGGCGCCGGTCTCGCCGTCCGCTGGCGGATCGACGAACAGACGGCGGCGAGCCGGACCTGTGGGTGGGGAGCTGTAGCGGTCCAGGAGGGTGGTGGGGGAGGGGGACACGCCTGCTGGACGGAGGAGGAGGGGTTACATTAGTCTAAAAAAACTCATACATGTGAACACTTCTACACACATTTAATGTATAATATTAAACAGGACACTTTATAGCAGTGGTTCTCAAACTGGGCGTCCCAAGATCATTTCAGGCGGTCGCCAGATCATTGGAAAAAAACAAAACAAAACAGCCTATATTTATCAAATAAATTAGTATCAGAGCTGTCAAAATTAAGAGTGTATACTTGTTCTCACTCCTTTTTCAAACTTGTTAATATTATTATTTGATTATGTGATATTATTATTCTTTTTTGCTCTTTTTAAAATTGTTTTCTTTAGTTTTCTTTTTTTTCCCTTTCATTTGTTCGAAATAAATTCAATTCATTCAAAAGAAAATTAATGTGTTGATGTAAAGAGATTAATCTGTGAAATTAACTCATTAATGCATGAACAACAAAGTTATTACTCAAGCCATCATAAAAATTCTAATTGGGGGGTCACAGACACAAACGTATGTTATCTTGGGGGTCGTGGCTCATAAAATAAGGAACTAAACAATAAAATCAGACATTAAAAGCCGCACAAACAATCTCTCATAGCGTTGAAATGTTGTTTTTAATCTCTGGAGGTTTTTGCTAATTAAATAGAACATATAGAACATATGTCTATTTTAATATTATTGATAAAATTAGTACAATGATATTATGATGTTTTGTCTCCTTGGATCTGTTTCTGTGGTTAATTTGTGTCACTCAGTGTGATTCATAAATGTTAAAAACTGTTAAAGGTTTTGTCTCTGTGTGTGTTTTTGTTCTCTTTTGTCACTTTGCAGTCACTTTG